AAGCGAAAGGAAGGCATACGCTGCTTATACCGTTCACCCCATCATCTAGCCTCACTTTTACCCGCTCGCCAACAGCTGGTCCCTTACGAGAGGGTTGTAAATGAATATAATTTCGTATTTTCGAATTTTGACTGCTACAGTTTCGTTTCATGGTTTTATTTCTTGGGTAATGATTCCGGTTAAAGAATTATTTTCTTTGTGTTAAGATTCAAGCGTTTGACTAGAACAAGCTGCACTCTGCGAACGAATCTGTGATCTGGTCTGAGCTGCAATTCTACACACACAATTTTTTTTTTAGCTTAGTATGATATTAGAAAGTAGAAGGAAAAATTTAACAAAACCAGAGAACCAAAATAAAAAAAAGATCATAAATTATTATATTCAAATTTCTGAAAGACCAAGTGACGGGTTGCTTTGATTGTTATTATATGCTAAGTTTAGCTCAGTTTGGTATAAGGCCATAGATATGAGGTAACTAAGGAGAATCTAACTCGCTAAACAATCTTAATGGACACTCAGACTAGCTCGTTAACCAGTACACAATGCCGATATGCCATTAAATACTAAAGGAACAAGGCCACGAGCACCCAGCGTGAGTTCAACTAAATATTCAGTAATGGCTTGCTAACCATTATCTCCAGCCAAGGTGCTCAGAAGCGGTTGTTATTTACTAAACTTAATTTAGTTTTGGCACAAGGCCACAAGGTCAGGGAACCTGATGAGGATCAAACTCACTAATCGGCAGTAATGGCGAACCAGGCAAACTCATTTTTCAACAGTCATATACCAGCCAGTATCGCTACCCGACGCCGAGGGAAGCAGTTGAGAAATGGGTTGTTGCAGATTAGATCTTATTTTTTTTTTTATAGCGGAAGTAATCTGTGTTGAAACGGGGGAAGGTGAAAAAAAAAGTGTTGAAGAAAAGGGGAGGAGGAAGAGGGGAAAGGAGCTTGAGGAGGAAAAGCTTACATTGGTTTTGTGATCCTGTCATACAAGTTAGGCTTATGTAAAATTAAAAAAATGGATGAATATCTGCACACACACGCAATATATATATATATATATATATATATATATATATATATATATATATATATATATCCGATGCAATGAGAACGAAAGTAATATATAAATTCTAACGTTCGCAGCATTAATTCAAAAGAGGGCTTGATACCGATAGTAGAGTGATAATTATGTACACTATTTACATTATTCGGACTATTGTCCTAATCTTTGTCAGCATGTTTATCACAACGTTTCGACCGTTGTACGCTCCGGCCTTCTTCAGGTGGTTGGAATGTCGAACTGAAACGTTTATTTCGCTCACTGGGGTAGACTGTTCTAGTTCTAAGTGCCATGTCTAATGGGTATCAGTTATCTCTTGTTAATTCCCATGTCAAAGTTCACACACTGATGTCCTCAAGGACACATGGCACAGTGGATAAAGGCATTGGTTAGATCCAGTGATATATATATATATATATATATATATATATATATATATATATATATATATATATATATATAAAAAGATCAGTGTATAGCGATCATTGTGCATGTATATCCTGCATATTTGACGAAACATGTCAGTCATTATTTTCTTGCTTCAATAAATTTCTCCGCGTTTAAATTTATTGATAAATTTTCTTGATTGAAGTTGTCGCTTTATTTTTTCTTGTTAGTCAGTAACTTTTGCTGTGGTCAGTCAAAAAACAGAGTACTCATCTTTATAGAAATTTAAAAAGAACAGTGTGTATTTGCACTCAATGGAAACGGGCGAGAAATAACTGGACTGTATTAAATAAAAAATAAGAACTAGACAATATCCCTAGACGTGAACAGTAGAA